AAAGCACTCTCTCATATTGTTCCCACAGCTATTGATGATTTGTAAGACCATGTGTCTGCAGTTGAGGTAGCTGGAGACCATGCCCCCAGCAGCATCTAACACAATGGATAGAAAAGCTATTTTTCAAAGTTCTAACACCATGCAGCTGAACATACAAGCACTAAACCAACTGTGACTCCTTGGAGCTTTAATGATTCTGTGATCATTCTACTTTATATGTTTGATGTCTGATAAACATCCTAACTATTTTCGAGAATAATACGGGAATATGCCACCCCCAAAAAAATCCGTGTCAACACCTTTATTATTTGCATACAGAAGTGCACTGAAGAAATGATAGTTATTACATGTTAGTTTGTTAGAAGGAGGAAGTTTCAGTTACAAGTCTAAATTTTTTTATCATGTCTTTCCTTGACAAATATTTATGGGAAAAGTGTTGACATTATTAATGCTTAGTGGTAAAGTATTGTGTTAGCAACCCAAAGATACACTTTGAATCTACCAGTCTGTGAGAGAAGGAGACAATTCTCCTCCTGTGAGATTAACTGCCACTGAAAAACCACTGGAGGGTCAGTTATGGGTTGATTCTCACTCTATGGTACACAACAACAACAGTAACAAAGATTCTTTTTTGAGGGGGCTTTTTGTTGTTTCTGCTGTTTTTTAAACTCAAACCTCAAGACCTCAAATTAAGTACATTTAGACTTCTACTGAATAAAAAGTCATGCTAAATATTTTTTATAATGTATTGAAAGTTTATAAAATAGGAAAACTAATTTTGGTGATAGTTTCTACATTTGAAATATAAAGAGATTACTATTAATTTTAATAGCCTCTATAACCACACCCAGAACTCACATTCATTACTGTCCCAGTCAAAACTGCCTCAGAGCTGACTGTGGTGTTAGCATAAAGTTGGCTTTTTTAGACGTTGCATTCGCTCTTTCTGGTCTCTAGCTACTTTAACTGCAGACACATGGTCTGGCAAATCATTAATAGCTGTGGGACTAGGATAAGAGAGTGCTCCCCACACTGTGAAGCAAAACTTGAGACTAGAGCAAGACTCTGGTGGCGAGATCGTGGTGATGATGGTAGAGAGACTGTGGCATTGCTGTTGAGAGATTCAAGTTGTGTTCTGAGACTTCTTGCATTTATCCTGGACATAGTAAAAGGTTCTGCTATTCTTACTGGATAATTAAGGGAAGCTTACTTATAACTGGTCTCAGGTCAACCTTGCTGAATGAGCAAACCAGAGGCTTGTTGAACCTAAGCTGTTGAACTGAAACCAGGACCTTTACTAATAAAGGATTTGTGTTTTGCTGTTAATCTGACTTGTTGGAGTAAACCTGCATTTGTATTGGGTGATAATCTTTGACTCCCCACTCTTCAATTTACATCACTATTAAATCCCACACTTGGTACCACAGTCTGTGAGTCAACAATGAATACTGAACCTCTAACTACTGATGTGGCTCTAAATGTACCAGCTGGCTGATCTCCAGGCTCTTTATCTGCTTGTTGCAGTGGGGTTCTTACTCCTCTGGCCTTTTCAGACATTCGTGGCCCTGTGCCCCCATGTCCTGTTTTCTATTTTTTTGTTTATTTGTTTTTTGTGCTGACCAGCCTATGCATTTCAAGGCTATAAATAACATACCTAGATGTAGGTTAACCCCTAAGGAGCAATATTCTACAATAAAAAGACCAAACATCTTCTGTAAATCCATTAGGTTTCATACATGGCTGAGGCCTAATGTAGATAAAACCAAAAATAATCATACCTATTACCATCAAATTGATTCTAACTTAAAGCCACCCTGCATGATAAAAGAGAACTACACCTTGGAGTTCCCAAAACTGGATATCCTTATTTTTTTTTTTTAAATTTTTTTAAAGCTAGATATCTTTATTGAAGCACATTGCTTTTATCTTTCTTCCATAGACTGGTGGGTTCCAGCCACTGGCCTGTTAGTTTGCTTAATGCTCTAACTACAGACCATCAAACTCTTGAAATAGAACCATCTCTATTACAATTCTTACTAGGCCAAGGACTACTTTTTTCAGTATGCACTGAAGATAAACAATGAAGTATTATTGGTATTACTATTGACTATTTATTTAAGGAAACATTCAGGTAGAATTTACTTTGTTTTTGTGTAAGTACTGTGATTTGCCATCATTAGAGATGAGGAAACTTAAGTCAAGGAGAGATAAAATAATTTTTCGAATGTCTCACAGCTGAATTTAAATCCATCTGCTTGAAAAGTTACTTATATTAACCAATTAGCTAGACTTGCCTCAGTGTGGTGAATAATGGACAACATGAATGGAACAATTATTTTTCTTATGTCAATATCTGCTACTGACAAAATAGAACTTTTTTTATTCATTTATTGAGAATCTAATACATGTTTGTCTTTATACTTAAGAGAGTAAACATAATAATTTCTCTTTATAAAGTTTACATTCTAATAGGAATCCTATCAGAATATTAGTATTTTAAACGCCTCTACTTTTAAGCTTTTTAATGACTGAATCAGTGTCTGTTACTTTTATGTATGTGACTTCTAGCTTAGCTGATAGGAGATTTTAAACAGTATCTGAGTGAAAGAAAGAAAAAGTGAATAAATGAAAATATATACTGTAATATTTAAAAATTTGTTTAGAATTCTTTCTCAAGAGTAAAGTACATTTATGTAAAGATAATGAAATTCTGCAGAAATTTTGCAAAGTAAAATTGACACTAACATTTCTAGATATTTGTTATTAGGAAGTGGGAAAGAATAACAGAAAATATGATAAAACATACAGGCATTTAAAGTTGTTTGTTCTCTGGTGGGTTAATAAACAATTTTAGATTCATGTATAGATAAGTCATGCCCCTCCTTTCTAACTGGGTTTGATCACAACTAGAACAAAACCAAGCACTCTCCCATTGCCTCTAGCCTGCCTATAGGACAGATTAGAACTACCACACTCGGTTTCTAAGGTTTTAAATCTTCAGGAAAGTGTCTGGTACATCTTTTTCCAGCAGAGTGGCTGGTGAGTCCAAACTAATTACCTTTTAGTTTGTATCCAAGCTCTTAAAACACTGCATCACTAGGGATCCTTCATCACAACTGTAACTAACTGCTATCAAGTCAGTAAATTCAAATAATGACCCTGTAAGGACAAGATAGAATTGCTTTGTAGAGAATCCAAGGTTGTAAACCTTAACTATAGCAGCCTTCTTCTTGCATGGAGGTGTTGATAGGTTCGAACTGCTGCGCTTTTGGTTAGCAGACCAATACATTAACTACTATGCTGCCATAAGGATATTAATTAGAAAAAGATAAGTTTGCTAAACTTGTCTACTTGGTTAGAGGGGCACAGTGGCATATATCTTTTAAAATGGCACATACATTTGGAATTTAAAAGTTATTTGTTAAAATAATGATGATAGGCGAGCTCTGGTGGCCTAGTGGCAAGAAGATGTACTGCAATCCCAGAGGTGCACAGTTCAAATCCACTAGATGCTCTGCTAGAGAAGGAGGAACAATCTCCTCCTGTACAAGTCAGATCTGATTTGATGGTACACACACACACAAAATAAGAAAATAAAAAAATTTAAAAATTGATGATAAATATTTCTTTTACTAGTCTCAGTATATGATACTTAGAAATGTACCCCTTGACCTGTTGGGAATCCAAATAGAGGTGGTTCTCCTTCAAGAATTTGTAATAATCCCTTCACTTTAACACATGAATATGTTCAATATTGGCTAAAGAACACGTTGCTACCAAAACTGAAATAAGATCCTTGAAACAGAAAGGATGTTGCCATGGAAAAATGAAGTAACACTCAGTGCAGCTGTGATGCATTAATGAATAGGATATTTTTTTAAAAGATCATTTGTGTTTGGTGTGGCTCAGAGGGTCCCAACCAGATGGTTTCCATGAACATAATCTGACCCCCGGCTTGAGGACTTCTTACTGGCAGATTACTTCATTTTCTTTCCCTTGGATTGTCAGATCCTTACATTAATGCAAAATTTACTGCTGTAGATTTATATTCAGTTAAAAAATCACTTAACATTTTACATTAAAAGCACAATTTTAGACATACAGTTGATAGCTATAGTATGTATAATAGATGTAACAGTAATTTTGGGCAATTTGGATTATATATGTTTATTTAGATGTGTGCACATTCATGTATACATGTTTTGAATAAGATGTATGTACAATATCTTTTTAAAATAGGTTGTATTTGAAAAGTTTGTCTTTTAAAGTTGTTAAATATGTATCATGTTAGTATACTGATGACAGAATATATATTTCTTAGGTTATTTAAATTTGCTAAGGTAAATTTTTAATTAGAGGAATTATGAAATATAGTGTAAAATTGGAAATTTTGACATAATTTGTTGCTTAGAACAAATGTGTGTGGATACATGCATGTATTTAGAAGCATATTTACCTAATTACCTCATGTTATTAAAAGTATTTTACAGCATAACATCAGTACCTATGTTAAGTGATAATTGATGACTCATAATACTTTAATCATTGGCTGGTGATATAACCTGAACAATATTTGTCTTATATTTTTGTTTATAATGTAAAAAAAGAAAGCTAAATTCACATAGGTACAGATTATTGAAGTTGGTTGGGTTTTTTTTTTTTTAATTTAGAGAGTAAGAACAATAAAACATTAGTATATTCTAGGATCTGAGCAGATATTAACAAAACCTAGTAACCTGCTGAAAAAAGAAACCTGTTTTCTTTTAGTTTTTGGAGAACACATTTCTAACTCAGTCATGTGTCTTAGAAAGAATCGTTATATATCACTGTGCCCTTTTGATCAAATTTGTAAATCTTAATGTAAATAGGGCAGCATCTTATACTGGAATTTTTTTCCTCTACTTTTTTCTATCTCATTTATTCTATATTGTTTTAGGACATCCCTCCTTTTTCTCTAAAATTTATTCTCATCTAAATATTGTCATTCTGCTTTTTTCTAGCTTGAAGTTCAGTCTTGTTGCATTTTCATTCCAAATGACAGCCTGCCTTCTCCAAGTACAATTGTATCTGGTGACATTCCTGGCACAGTAAGAAGTTGGTACCATGGACAGATCAGCATGCCAGCAACTTTAGTCCTTTGTTTGCCTCAAATAAAGATTACAAGTGCTGGCCATAAGATTATGGAACCTTTACAGGATATCCCATTCATCATCCCACGACCTGTCCTTGAAGAGGGTAGGTTTTAAAAAAAAATCTTATGGTTCCTATAGGCTAATATTTTCAGTTTAATTTTTTAAAATATGCTATAAACTCTATAAATGTAAAGAAGTGATAAGTATAGAACAGGCTTCAGGTCTTTTGTTCACAGAGTTGCTATGAGTCGTATTCTACCTCATGACACTTAACCACTGCTAAATGAGTCTAATGTTGTTATATTTTGGAGGTATGTTCTTCTACATTGTACATTATTCTTTGTAAATTTGCTGTACTGAGGTAATCTGGTTGTGTTATGATGCTGAATCTTGTACCATTGGGGTGTCAAACGTCAATAATTGTTTCCCAATGTGGACAGTGTTTGGTGGAGCTCCTAGCTGTAAAACAAGTTTGGAAGCAGGAGTGGCACCCACTTCCTAAACCACATGCCTATGGAAATTCTATGTACTTGGAGAAATGACAATAGCTATTGAAAGGAATTAGAATCTTTTGTTCATGGAGTCGCTGTGAGTCATGCTCAACTCAATGACAACAAACAACAACCACCACCATGTTGTTGTATATATAAATGAGTCTTCTCAATGTAAGACAATAATTTCTAAAGTAAGGTAACTATATGGTGCCACTTATTTTGATCATATATGTATGTATGTTGTTCTGTACCGTCAAGTTGAAATTGACTCATAACTGACCCTCCAGCAAGTTTTCACATGGGAGAAGATTGCTCATCTTTTTCTTGTGGAGCAGCTGATAGATTCAAACTACATGCCTTTGGGGTAAAAATGTATATTGTCCAATCAATATGATACAGTTTAATCACTAAAATGCTAAATTTAAAGTTAACTTGTGAAGAAGTTGATTCTGAGATTTCCTTTAAACTGAACTAAGAATGATACATGGTCAGTCTTATTAATACATTATTTCCTCCCCTACACAATTTGTTCCAATATTTTTTGTTTTTCTGAACCAAGTATATAATTATATGATAATTGTAACCATGCTTCTTTCTTCAGTAAATACTTGATTTCTTTCTTTGCAATATTTTTAGGTGCAAATTTATACCATTTTGAACTTTGACATATTTATCGCAAAAGTATGTGAACCTGGAAAAGTTTTGAGTCAAAAAGTAACTAATGTGGATCTATATTTTAATAACAATCCTCAGTTTTTGACAGTGCTAAACAGGTCAACACCTTGTTCATATTATTAAGATGTAAGTGTATGAATCTAATATCATCCACATTACTACACATACTGTTACGGAAAAGCAGATACAGTCAGACTTTGATGCTGCTTTTAACTTTCTCTTACTTTTTACTGAAATAACCAGTGCAAGTTATTTTTTATTTGTTAGAAGTAAGTATGGTTTTTTTAGAAATCAATTGTCAGGCTTTGCAGTAATGTGTATCAAATAAGAAGCACTGGAAAACGGATTCGTCTCTAGGACGATAGCATGTTTCGAGTGGTATTGAAAGCCGCACTGATGGATATGTAATAATAAACATATCTGTTATTAATATGCTAAAAAAATCAATTGTCAGTGTTTAAAATCTCAGAGTCCTTAGGTTTAGAATGAATGTTTTATAATTTTTCTTATATGATCTTTGCGTTGTGCAAGAAACTTTTATCTAGCATATTAGACATAGCCTTTTCTTATATTCACTTTTGGTTACAGAAAATTCTTTATCATAAACAATTAATGTGTATTACAGAAAAATATCCTAGCCTCAAGGCAATGTAAGTTGGGGAAAATGAGCTACCTTCTTTTATTTTTTTTTAATGTTTTACTATGGAATAATTTTTGTAAGCTTAAAATGTTTATCTGTGATTTTGTTTTGTTTTTAAACTCATAACAAATCTTTAAATCAACTTTTTAAAAATAAATTTTTATTTTATACTGTTTTGCATACAAAGTTTGTATACATTGTTTTTCACACCAGATCTTTCCCATTTCCTTTATCCATCTTTGCCCATAGCCCTATGATTATCCACTCCGCCCATCCTCACCCTTATGCCCCTACTATTCCTCTGCCCGGTGGATCCTCATGCCCATTTTACTAGTTTTCTGTTTCTATGATACTGATCTTTATAGTATTTGTCCTTATGGGACTGAGTTAGTTCACTTAGAATAATGCTCTGCAGTCCCCTCTCCCCTAAAGTTATGTAGTAATTTTCAAAATCATTGTTCCTGCATGCTGCGTAGTATTCCATCATGTGCATGCACCACATTTTCTCAATCGGTTTGATTTGTAGTTGGACATTTGGGCTGTATCCATGTTCTTGTGATGGTGAATAACACTGCTATGAACATTGGTGTACAAATCTCCATTTGTGTCTCATTTCTAATTTTCTCAGGATATATTCCAAACAGTGGAATTGCTGGGTCATATGCAATCGACCAACTTTTTTGAGTTATAATTTGTATATAATAAAATTCTTTTTTTAAGGTATATAGGTCAGTGATTTGTACAAGTGCATCTGTCACCACTGTTGCAACTTTAGCAAGGCAATATCACTTGAACTTTTTCCCATTTACCTTTTTCTCATTAGCCCCTGGCAACCACTAATCTGCTTTCTTCTATGATGTTGCCTATCCTAGATATTTATATACATGTAATCACATGATATGGAGGCTTTTGTTACTGGCTTCCTTCACTTGGCATTATGTTTTCATAACAATGTCATGTTGTAGAATGTATGAATACTTCATTCCTCTTCTTTTTTAGCTGAATGATTTTTGTTGTTGTTATGTGCCATCGAGTCACTTATGACTCCTAGCAGTCCTGTGTACAATAGCTCTGAACATTTTCATATCCTGAGCCAGGATTTTTAAAAATTTCTTTGGATATTATGAATAATGCTGGTATAACTATTCTGTACAAATTTTGGGGTAAACATGTATTTTCACATCTCTTGGGTGCATACTTTTATATAAATAACTTACATGTTACATATTTAACAAACCAAGTAACCTCCTTTTCTATTAGTTTCCTTTATGCACTATGTACATTGTACCTTTAGTGGGAAAAATACAGTGTATACTTTGGAGTGGGACTGTTGGTTTATGTTGTTACTCTTTGCTTAAGCTTCTGAGGTCCTGTCAGACTGTTTTGTAAATTGCTGTCTTATTTACAGCAGTATTTGAAGGTTCCAGTTTCATCACCTTCTCCATTACTGCATGCTGCTGCTTTTGTCTTTTGATCATTGCCATTTGGTGGGTGTAAAGTGTTGTCTAACTAGAGTTTCAGTCTGCATTTCTCTAATGACTGTGAGACTAGAAACTCATGGTGTACTCCATAACATGACTCACTACTAATCTAAAGGCTGTGTGTTTGAATCAACCAGCTGATATGCAGGATAGAAATGTACAAATCATTTTAGAAGTAGTATCAAATATATAGTTATTATTCTGGAATATATGAAATTTTTATTTGAGCTGAGAGCTAGATAGTAGATAAAAATGACAGAAGAAGAATTGATGGCTTGAAACTGTAGTATTAGGGAAGAGTACTGAATATATTGTGGATTGCCAAAAGGACAAACAGCTATGTCATGGAGAAAGTGGACCAGAGAGCTCCTTGCAGGAAAAGTGAAAAAGCTTATCTCACATGCTTCGGGCATGTTACTAGGAGATGCTATTCCTTGGAGAGGGACATTGTGATTACCAGGGTCGAGGGATGGTGAAATAGAGGAATACCTTCAACTGGGTGGGTTGATAAAGTGCCTGTAGCAGTGTGTGAGATGCTGTGACGATGGCACAGGATAGAATTTGGATCTGTTGTTCATAGGGTTGCTATGAATCATACTTGACAGCATGTAACAACAACTGCTTGTGAAACACAGAGAAATAAAAATGTTAATAATTTAAAGTGTAAATGAACTAAATCCTAAGAAATTCTCGTCAGCAATTTCATTTCAGGTGGTTATGAACTGGAGATACCCCTAACCTGACAAAAGAAAATATAGCAGTTTTGCGCTTCTGGTGGCCTGGTATATAGAGTTACACTGTCAACCGCAAGGTGGTGCCTGACTGAGTGTTTGAATCCATCAGTGGCTCCTTTGGAGAAAGATGGACAATCTCTTCTCCAGATAGAGGCTGTTTTTATTGTTATATTCTGTTCAGCTGACTACGACTCATAGCAAACATATAAACAACATCTGCTGTGCTTGAACCTATTGTTACAGCCAAAGCATCACTCCTTCTTGAGGGTCTTCTTCTCTTTCTGTGACTCTCCACTTTCCCTGCAAGGACCAATCCCTTTTGAGAATAAGCCCGAGGAATGTGAGACAGAATTTCACCATCCTCGCTTCTAAGGTCCACCCTGGTTGCACTTCCTCCAAGATAGACTTGGTTTTGGCAAGCAATGGATATTCAGTACTGTTCTCCAGTAGCACAGCTCAAAGTCAACAAATCTTCTTCTGTCATTCTTCACTGTACAACTTTCCCATGCATACAAAGGGATTGAGAAGACCATATCTTAGGTCACACACACCTTACTCTTTAAACTGACATTGTGCTTTAATACTTTGAAGAGGTGCTTGTATGCAGGTTTTCCCAGTGCATCACATGTCTTGATTTATTGACTGCTATCCCTGTGAGAGCCACAGCCTCCAAAAACCTACTGAAGATTTGGCAGTGAGTCACTTCTGACTCACCGTCAATGACTGACAGACTCTGTCAGTGGTGTCATTACCACCTCTAGGTCACTAGAAACAAAATTCATTGTTGGAAGTTTTTATGCAATTCAGGTAATGAAATTTCAGATTACAACTTCTTATGAGAGCTTATTCAAGATTCTGTTTTCTTGAAGAGTTTTTGAGAGTGCCTTATTGAAAGAAGGGCAGTCAATTTATTTGTAGTTTATCATAATGTTAAGATTATCATCATAGAATTACAAGCTTACATCCAGTTAGTCTCTGCATTTTGCTCTGGCCCTGTGTTTTGTTGTCATTCAGCCTTAGGGAACAAAGATAGTTTTACCACCTGAAATGCTGCAAGATGTTTGTTCTGTATCCTCTGA